GCGCCGCCAGCGCAAGGGATAGTGTCTTGCAGCGCTCGCGCGCCAGCTATGTTGGCTCGGCACGCGCCGACACGAACGCGCGGCCCGAAACGGCACGCGCGTCATCAAGCACGAAAGCTGGGCGAGGTCAAAGCCTCTTTTACTCTGGCAACCTTAGTCAACGGAGTCATTGCCATGGCGTCTTCCTGAAGACGCTTGATCTCAAGGCTGGGCTGGGAGTCCAAGGAAAGCTGCCACGCCCGACGGCGGGCAAACGGCTCGATATCTCCGTCCGCAGCCGGAAACTGGAAGATCACCTGCCAGTGACGCAAGGAAGGCTCGCCGTCCGTGTCGAACAGAACATGAGGCTTTGCAACCACCCGCAACAGCGTGTCAGGCCGCTGTCGCGCGATGGCCAAGCTGTCTCTGACGCTGACCACCCACATGAGGTCCGCGCGGATATCTGGCTGCGTGGCGTCTGCGCACTCGAAGATGATTCGCACTCCGCGCTCGGCTTCGTTGCACTCCTGCACAGGATCTTTGGCCGTCACTCGCAGTAAGAGCTCCGCGTACTGGACTGGCAGATCCTCACCTGCCGTAATTTGCCCTGCGTCATCCAAGTTCGCGTCTGACAAGTAGATGCATGGGCAGCCCGGGAGTGAGGCGGCCGCGCGCAAGCACAGGAGTGGCTTTGCTGAGCCCGAGTAGGTAAGCGGAGCCTCGCGAACATGCACCACTTGCAAGGTGTTGCGCGCGGCGCGAGAGCCAGTCGGTCCAGAGTACGCTTCGTCGTGCGCCACGACGAAGCGCACAGCCCACTTGCGGGCTCGGATCTCGTGCTCCGCATTCTCTCGCGACTGTACCGCGTCGCCCGGCCGAAACGCCAAGGCAGCACGCAGCACTTCGTCGACGCACTTGGTAAAGATCCTCGCGTCCAGCGTGGCCGTGTGATCCCACACAGTAGCCTCCAGGCTGTAGCACGGCCGGACGCCAGCTTCGTCGTGTTTGTCGCAAGTCTTGCGAAAGCAAGTGGCGCAGCCTGTGTAGTGCCAAGAGTCTTCCGGCACCCGGGACAAGGTCTGCAGGTGAGCCAGCGTGCAGAACGGTGCCTCCCACACGTCCTCGTGAGAGAACTTCTTCGCTTCGGCCGCCGGCAAAAAAGCGCCGAGCGTCGCCAGCGAGACCAAAGTCGCCGGTCCGGCGCCGTATCTCTTTATCTTTCTTGATTTCTATTTTTCTATCTCTTTATCTCTTTTTTCTTTCTATCTATTTATCTCTCTATCTCTTTTTCTATCTCTATTTATCTATCTATCTATCTATCTATCTATTTATGTATGTATCTATCCATCTGTCTCTCCATCTATCTTCCGCGTATCTATCTATCTACCTATCTATCTACCTATCTATCTATCTCTATATCTCACTATGTATTCCTCTGTCTACTTATCTATCTATGTCTCTCTCTATCTGTCTATCTCTCTATCTATCTATTTCTCTATCTCATTATCTCACGTGTATTTCTCCATCTTTTTATCTCTTTATCTATTTATTTATATTTATAATTATCTATAGATCTACCTATCTATCAATCTCTCTATCTACCTCTCTATCTCCTATCTATCTATCTACCTCTCTATTTATTTATCTCTCTATCTCTTTATCTATCTAGCTAGTTATTTGTCTATCTATCTACAAATCTATCTATCTCTGTCTATCTCTGTTTCTCTATCTCTTTCTATCTATCTCTCTAGCTATCTCTATATCTGTTTATTGATCTATCTATCTATCTTTCTCTGCACTTAAAAGTTGCGATGTTCAATCCCCGAAAGTTGACTTCGCGTACTACTTTCGTACTTAAAAGTTGCGATTTTCGAGCCCCAGCTGCGAAACTGGACTTCACGTACTACTTTCGTAGTTAAAAGTTGCGATTTTCGAGCCCCAGCTACGAAAGTGGACTTCGCGTACTACTTTCGTACTAAAAAGTCGCGATTTTCGAGCCCCAGCTGCGAAAGTGGACTTTGCGTACTACTTTCGTACTTAAAAGTTGCGATTTTCAAGCCCCGGCTGCGAAAGTGGACTTTGCGCACTACTTTCGTACTTAAAAGTTGCGATTTTCAAGCCCCAGCTGCGAAAGTTGACTTCGCGTACTACTTTCGTACTTAAAAGTTGCGATTTATCTATAGATCTACCTATCTATCAATCTCTCTATCTACCTCTCTATCTCCTATCTATCTATCTACCTCTCTATTTATTTATCTCTCTATCTCTTTATCTATCTAGCTAGTTATTTGTCTATCTATCTACAAATCTATCTATCTCTGTCTATCTCTGTTTCTCTATCTCTTTCTATCTATTTCTCTAGCTATCTCTATATCTGTTTATTGATCTATCTATCTACCCATCTTTCTCTGCACTTAAAAGTTGCGATGTTCAATCCCCGAAAGTTGACTTCGCGTACTACTTTCGTACTTAAAAGTTGCGATTTTCGAGCCCCAGCTGCGAAACTGGACTTCACGTACTACTTTCGTAGTTAAAAGTTGCGATTTTCGAGCCCCAGCTACGAAAGTGGACTTCGCGTACTACTTTCGTACTAAAAAGTCGCGATTTTCGAGCCCCAGCTGCGAAAGTGGACTTTGCGTACTACTTTCGTACTTAAAAGTTGCGATTTTCAAGCCCCGGCTGCGAAAGTGGACTTTGCGCACTACTTTCGTACTTAAAAGTTGCGATTTTCAAGCCCCAGCTGCGAAAGTTGACTTCGCGTACTACTTTCGTACTTAAAAGTTGCGATTTTCGAGCCCCGGCTGCGAAAGTTGACCTTGCAAAAATGCTGCGCCTGCCACCAAATCTGTGCTTGACCTTGCGAAAGTGCTGCGCCTGCCACAAAATCTGTACTTGACCTTGCGAAAGTGCTGCGCGTGCCACGAATTTTGCACTTGACCTTGCGAAAGTGCTGCACCTGCCACGAATTCTGTACTTGACCTTGCGAAAGTGATGCGCCTGCCACGAATTTTGTACTTGACCTTGCGAAAGTGCTGCGCCTGCCACGAATTTGGCACTTGACCTTGCGAAAGTGCTGCGCCTGCCACGAAATCGATACTTGACCTTGCGAAAGTGCTGCGCCTGCCACGAAATCTATACTTGACCTTGCGAAAGTGCTGCGCCTGCCACGCAATTCAAACCTTGCGAAACCTTCGCGCGGCCGTGCCAATGGGCCCGTCTCCGAGACCGTTCCGAGACCGTTCCGAGACCGTTCCGAGACCGCCTCCGTACAGGCGTCGCAGCCGAGGTGGTTTGCGCACAGTCCGGAAGCCCAATTCACGCACAGCGCCAACGTTTTCTGCATCTTGCCATCCCCCAGCTCGCAGAGAGTGCTTGCGAAAGTGCTGCTGCGAAAGTGCTGCGCCTGCCACGAAATCTATACTTGACCTTGCGAAAGTGCTGCGCCTGCCACGCAATTCAAACCTTGCGAAACCTTCGCGCGGCCGTGCCAATGGGCCCGTCTCCGAACCCGTTCCGAGACCGTTCCGAGACCGTTCCGAGACCGTTCCGAGACCGTTCCGTACAGGCGTCGCAGCCGAGGTGGTTTGCGCACAGTCCGGAAGCCCAATTCACGCACAGCGCCAACGTTTTCTGCATCTTGCCATCCCCCAGCTCGCAGAGAGTGGACGCAGCACCTTGCGAAAGTGCTGCGCCTGCCACGAAATCGATACTTGACCTTGCGAAAGTGCTGCGCCTGCCACGAAATCTATACTTGACCTTGCGAAAGTGCTGCGCCTGCCACGCAATTCAAACCTTGCGAAACCTTCGCGCGGCCGTGCCAATGGGCCCGTCTCCGAACCCGTTCCGAGTTCCGAGACCGTTCCGAGACCGTTCCGAGACCGCCTCCGTACAGGCGTCGCAGCCGAGGTGGTTTGCGCATTGTCCGGAAGCCCAATTCACGCACAGCGCCAACGTTTTCTGCATCTTGCCATCCCCCAGCTCGCAGAGAGTGCTTGCGAAAGTGCTGCGCCTGCCACGAAATCGATACTTGACCTTGCGAAAGTGCTGCGCCTGCCACGAAATCTATACTTGACCTTGCGAAAGTGCTGCGCCTGCCACGCAATTCAAACCTTGCGAAACCTTCGCGCGGCCGTGCCAATGGGCCCGTCTCCGAACCCGTTCCGAGACCGTTCCGAGACCGTTCCGAGACCGCCGCCGTACAGGCGTCGCAGCCGAGGTGGTTTGCGCACAGTCCGGAAGCCCAATTCACGCACAGCGCCAACGTTTTCTGCATCTTGCCATCCCCCAGCTCGCAGAGAGTGCTTGCGAAAGTGCTGCGCCTGCCACGAAATCTATACTTGAGAAAGCTATCTACGTGTTAAGCTGGCTATATGTCAAAGCTATCTATCTGTCATGCAAGCCTATTGGAAAGCTATCTATCTGTCAAGCTAGCTATATGTCAAAGCTATCTATTTGTCATGCTAGCTACCTGTCATAGCTATATGTCAAAGCAGCTAGCTCATTTAGTTCCAGTACTACGGAAGTTTCTTGTTAAACTTCCTTTGACTAAAGCAAATGAACCTATCAACAAGCTTGAAGATTAAAACTAAAACAGGTCAGACAACCGTTTGCCTGCGGGAACTGATATATACATATATATATATATATATATATATATGTGGGGTGTGGCTCAAATTGGGCTCCCCGAGACTTGTTTGAATTGTACCCTCCAAAAGAAGACCCACCCATATTGTCCTTCCCTGCGAATGGGTGTTTCTCATAAAATTGAGGACCCTCCGCACAGGTTGTCCTTTCGGCCTCCCGCTAAAGGCCTCCCAAAAGGGGTCCCCTATTTTGCGACGCCCCCGGCCCCGCGTGTCCTTTTGGTAAAAAATGACCCTGGCAAACGGGGAATCAAACCCACTTGAAACCCATCTACTTTCAACCAAACTCACCGATCGAAAGGCCACCAGTGGCCCGAATCTGGGTTGAAGCCGCCGCACAAAATCCATCAGCGAAAATTGAGCGCTGGGTCAGCGCACCATCGGGGGTTCGACTGGCGATCCTGGCAGAGCTGTGAATTTGCGACAAAAAAGGGCAACAAAGTGATCTGTGTGTCTCACTTCCCGAGTGGATGGCACACAAAAAGTACCCAAACTGGTTATGTTCCACTGAAATGGTCTTCCCAAAAAGTGAAAAAAGTCCAGCAACTCGGGAAGTGAGGTGTTTACCTGGACCCAACTACCCATAGACACCGGAACCTTCCAAGCTGAACCTCACTGATGTGGCTCTTGGGGCTCGGCACCTCCAAAATGACATTGCATTGCTGTTGGGGTCCCTTGAAACTTACCCCAGCTTGGTTGCTGTTGACCCCATCGGAAAGTTTGGCTTCTGGGTCCAATGGAAACCCACGGTTGCCCAAAGATCCAACCAAATAGCCACAAAGAGCTGACCTTTGTTCTAGGAGTTGATTCCCCATTCTTTTCAGCCATCGTTCTTTTCAACAACCGATCGCCATTTCCCCAGGGCGTTTGGTGGTTTTCTAGAAAGAAGGATCCCTGGAAAGAATGGACATGGAACTAGATTTGTGCTTACCACTAGACTTGGTTGACGTTGGAAGGGGAGCAACAAAAATAAATATTTTAGCAGTTAAGTGGTTGGATTTCAACCACTAAGCCACAATCAGCAAAAATGTTTCAACTGTTTCCCAACAACAACCATGTAGAATGGTCCTCCCCAAAAGCTCACCCCGCTCGTTCACCGCCATCACAGTCACCCCCGTGGTAGCTGCACGGAAGCCACCCCAGCTGACTTTGACCACCCCCAGCAGCATGGCATGGGAAGGCTTTGTCAAATCGCCGGAGAAAAATTGGAGTTTCCGGGGCCTGCTCCAAGATCGATGATGCCAAAACGAGGTTTGGCGAACTTCGCTCAAAGCAAATATTGGGGCGAGCTACTTGCAGCACACACTGATATCTTGGGATCATGACTAAATATGGCTTGTATGTGTTCAATTATTTTTCAACTACCCCACAACCTCATTCTATCATTTAGCCCCTTAATAGTAGACCAAGAGTGGACAACCAAATGCCTTCGTGGGGAGTGTGTTGACCTAAATCCCGCACTAGTAGGTAAGCAAAGTACCAGCTCATAGTCTGAGCATGTTTTCCCTTGCGTACCTCGTGTGGTGGCTGAAGCTGGGTCAGGAAACATGTCTGCATCCACACATCAGCGTAGATGAATGAGCAGCCCGGCCGCGAAAATGTGCCCTTATGCCCTTTGACCCTTCCATGATGTTGATGGGGATCATACCTAGACCCTTCATGGTGACATGTGTTGTGGTTTTGATGGATAGTGCAAAACACAAAGCAGACTTCACACTAAAGTGTAAATTTCAGGATGCATGATATATGTTAGAGTATGCTCAACGGGACAGTCACGTACGCGATATCTTGTTTCCCGTTGGTCCCTCTCCAAGTTTACCTTTTTGCGGAATCGATTCGGAACACCCACATGACTTCCCCAAATGGCCATAGGTCAAAAGCCCGTACCCCGAATGAACATCCCAATCCCACTATTAATAGACTCAAATGGGTGATGCACCTACCCCCAAATGGGATCCCATTTGGATTTGACCCACAGCCAAATGAAGTCTCAAGATGCGTTACCATAGGTGTCCTTTTAGGGCAAATAGATGGCCCTGGTAGATGATTAAACCACCGGGTAAACCAGGAATCGCCATCGATTTTTCTACTAAAACAACCAAAAAGGACACCTATGTGAGTTCCCCAAAAACTATGCTCTGGGCCTGGCCATTGCACAGCCCCCGAATTTCTCCGAAGTCCCCCTCCCCCCCCCCTCCCCTCCCCCTCACCTCCCCCCCAGGCCATCCCCCCCAAACCCCAGCCCGCCCCCAAGCGCCCCCCCCTGAATTTCTCCGGAGCCGCGTCAGCGCGCTCGCCGACTCGCGCCTCGGAGAACTTGGCGTGCTGCACTACGTGCTCCGTGCAGGTGGGCTCCTCGCATCCACCGAATTTCTCGGAAAATGTTGGGGGGGACCACTGGATTTGTCCAATGCCACATGATGGGTGTGTCCTTTTTTGAGGGTACTTCGGGGCTTCTTTGTTTTGATTTTTAAGAGAAACTCGGGGCGTTTTGTTTTTTTTTTTTGGGGGGGGGGGGCGGGAGGGGACGAATCGGGTAAATATATTCAAACAACTGAAATTTCCAATGCCACATGATGGGTGTGTCCTTTTTTGAGGGTACCCTTATTTGATGGTCTTTAAGAGAACCCAGAAAAAACACAGACGTACACATATTTCTGCCCAGGCGAGCTTCTTTAAGAGGCTCTGGCATCTCTATGACTAGCATATCACTTTAAAGGGGATTCCCTTGCCCACCCGGTAGCTGCATTCTTGATCTTTGCCAATCTCGGGAGTCCCCATGCTTCCCCGTCAAACGCTGCTGCTTTTCAGGCTGGGCTGTCTAGGTGACTCTAGATGTATAACCTTTTGTTTGTTGCTTGTGTTTCTGTACCCTCGATGCAGCGTGGCTAAGGATCGGGTTACCATATCTTGCCAACTCTGTTAGCTCCTGCAGGCGGGACACGCCCATAGGCAGCTCGCCCTTGTGGCAGGTGAACCTCGGGCGTACGGCAATCAAAGCGCTTGGACACCTGCACGGCGTGCGCCAGTGGTGTTGGCGCCCTTTTGCGGATTCCCAGACCTCCAGTGGTGCCCCTTGTTCAATTTTTGGGTGGTTTGAGCCCTTTCAACCAACTCCTGCCTCTTGGATTTAATTCATGCTTTGCCCCTCCGCTTGGCGATGGAAGGCTTGATCTTTGGCGGCCGGGATGTGGGCTCTCACTCCAATGGGGACCGGGTGGGGTCTTGAACAATGTGGCGGAACTACCAAGGAACGGGTGCCGTTTTCTTGCCAGTTGATGTTGACCCCGGATGAAACCCCAGTTTATAAACCCAGGAAGAAGCACCCCCCATATCAATAAACAGGGGTTGTTCATCCGGGGACAACATTCCAAGTGAGCTCGCCCTCTCGGCAGAACATGCACTATGCCTCCCCTTAAGTTGCGATTCACTGGTAGGTGGCAAACATTCATTGTATTGTCGACAGGGGTCACTGGATTTCCCCTTTGAGAGTTGCAATTCAGCAGTGACTTCCACTGAAATTTGCAACTGTTGCAGTCTCTAAAAAGGGAAATTGATGAAACCCTATTGGAGGTCCAAACATTTTGGAAGTTAAGAACCACAATGTCATTCGTCAGCTTGCCACTGGGCTCTGAGCTTGCCACTTTTGAAAGCCCAGTTCGCGACTTTCCCCGTTTCCCTGTATAGTAGGTAACCAAGGGAACCACCCTTTGAAAACCAAAGGAGAATAGCTGGCTTCCTACGATAAAGGCAACTGGGATGAACTGGGTTTAATAACTCCAAACACAGTCAACATCATAAACCCAGCTTTACATTGGATTTGGCCCTGGTCACATTTCAGCACAAAACAAAAGCAGCCATATTTATAGCAACCGATCGGGCAGTTTTCCTGTTTCCCTTTACAAACACAACCAAGTGAATGATATGAAACTCATAAAACGATCCGAATATCAACCCCGACTCAATTCACCAGTCAAGCCGGGGAAAATCCATCCCTGGCAGGGTGGGCTAAACGGGTCCCTGGGTGTTGCTTTTTGAATGAGCCAAGGTAAGACTCTTGGGCGAGCCCTGCGTCTTCCCATGAATATCAGGGCCCTGCCTGTTTTTCCTTGTGGTTTGGCATGGACACAAAAACGTGTCAGACCCCGCCCCCCCCACGGCGGTTTGTTGGGGATGCTCCTCTTTACCATCCCATGAAGGGGTGGGTATCAGGAAGTGTCAAGTCCACCGAACGCTTTTCTTTTGCCACCCCCTGAGCCCTGCGGTTCAGTTACCACACCACCATTAAAGCAATGGCTGGGCTCATACTATAACCACCATGGTCTATCGTTCAGGATTGTCATCATCCAAATTGGGTCCTTGCCATTATTTTATTGGGGGTGAACCCTAGGGTGAGCGGATTTGCATTTTGCTTGCCGCTCAAATGGCGATCCCAAGAAACACAGCCAACAACAGGGGAAGTGAGGCTCCTACGCTCACCTTGCCCAGATCCCATTGAGTCCGGAAATGGACTCCAACAAGTGCGTCTCGAGTTTAAGAACCGAGATACACACTTCTCATTTTGGGTAAAAAAACAACATCCCTTGGTTAAAGCCTAGCTTGAATGAGCGGATCCCCAAACAGCTGAATTGGTACCCGCAAAAACTCGCTTCCTGAGTGGATGGCGAAAGAATGGTCCGAACTTTTAGCTCACCACAGTGATCCGAAGTCCATAAACTCACGGAGTGAGTGAAACATGTTGGTTGTCGTGGCTCAAATTTGGGGGATGTCCCAACATGGTTTGCCCAAAATAAATGGGCGCAAGTACACTCAGACCTGCGGTTTGCCACCATTTTCCTTGTTCAGCCACAAACGGGGGAAAACAAATTCGCGGGATACCGAAGAAGCGGGGATGTGCGAGGATTCCCTGTAAGAGAAACCGTGTCTAAATTTTAAATGTTACCCCGCTTCGTATCCCTGCTTGTATTGCCTGTCTGAATCAGAATATTTTCGGAAATTCGATCAGAATCTTTCACCCATCGCTCAGACAAGACTCTAAAAGAGAAAGAAGAATCTGAATCAGAAAAGGTTCTGAAATTCTAAGCAAAGAACCTTTTCTCCTGAAAAAAATAAGAAGCTATTTCCAGTAGTGATAGGTTCCCTTAATTGAGCAAATGCAAGTCTCTCTCAAAACCTATTGATCAGAACGTTTTCTGAAGAATCCACGAATATTTCGCTGAAATTCGATCAGAATCTTTCAAAGCCACTAATGTTTTCTGAGCTTCGATCAGAAACTTTCACCCGTCGATCAGAGCGTTTGCTCTGAAGAATCCTGAAGAATCTCTCGCTTGCGTCGGCGGGTGGGGGGTGGGGTCCCATGGACACCTTATAAAGTCTATTTTGCAGCCATACGCAAAAAAAAAAGAAAAACAATACCCTGAGGGCGACTCGGCTAAGAGCCAGGCACATCCTTGGCGCTGAAGAGGGGCAGCGGGGGGGATGCCGGCGGAGACGGCGGAGCCGGGGGCGCCTGGATTCTCACGAGAAACCAAACATGGCAGATGTTGGATTTCCCAAAAACCCACGGAAAAAAGGGGGGGGGGGGGGGGGGGGGGGGGGAAAACAAGCATGGGAACCTTGAAAACCCAAAATTGAAACTTCCACTTACCAGGGTTCCATTTTGGTGCCGGTTTTTTGAGCCACAACCAAATGGACAGCCACCATTCTGGAAAAATTGGCGGTGTCCTAAACCAGGGAACCCGGTAGAATGGTGGTTGTCCCTTTAGCTTCTCTTTAACACCACCCCCGAAACTTCCCCAGAATTAGCTCCCCTTTTTCATTTTTCGTTTTTTTTGGGTCCTCTTTTGTTTTCTACCCAGGCAAAACAAAAAACAAACTAGTTTTTTTGCTGGGGTCCAAAATTGATTCCAGAAAAGGGTACCGATGTTTTCAAAAGGACCAAGCCAACTTCTTAGCAAAGGACCTAGCTATGCAGGAGTTCTGCAGCTCGAAATCCACTTGTTAATTAGTGGGGGTATTTGGACGAAACATGGACCAAAACCTGTGGTTTGCCCCTCCTGTTTAACTTTGAGCCACACCCATTTGGTTTTGGTTGGTTGGCAACACGTCATTCATGTGCTCCGATATGGCAATCCGGCATCCCGCATCCTTACCGTTGTGTCAAACAGAGATTCTAAGAGGATGTCCACACCACGCCGAAACACCTGCCCAAGAAAAAATGGGGGCCCAATTTAATGGACATTGGCATTACTTTCATGCAAAGCTTATATGGGGGGGGTTACATGGGCTCAAGCAAACATGTGAACAAACAATGTTTGTTGAGCGGTCAGATTGGTCCCAACTCTTGTTCCATCACTGAATCACTTAAACACCGCTTCGGTGAAAGGATCTATGGGCAAGGCCAGTATTTACATACTGCTTCAAAAGAGACTCCAGCATGGAGAACTACCGTAAACAAACGAAACTTCATGTCCTTGATGGTAGCACAACACTTCGCAGCTGTGCCCGGATAGTAACAATGCCTAATGAGCACTTACCAGCTACATCCTCACTATATATGTCTGAGCTTCGCGGTGCATGACGACAATACATGTAGCTTTCGCATGATTTCGAGGAGTCCCTCCAAGATGGTTGCTTCCATTGGCGACGTCCAAAACTTGGCCTCGCTTCAATTTTTAGTCCGGAAGGTGACTCAGTTGTTCAGTGACTCTGGAAAAAAAGGGAACCCTTTTTGGGGAAGACCATTTTTAGTGGGGCAGCCACCCAAAACCAAAGGGGAAAAAGGGTGCCACTGAACAACTGAGGTGATGTTTCAATCCACGCAAACTTTAGATGTCCCAGTGGGCTCCCCGTGGATCCAGCTCTTTGAATCCATCTTGCGAAGGCTCCACGCTCCAGAAACCCAGCCAAAGCACGTATCCCAGAACCTACAAGCACGTAGTATGAGGGCTGAAATGTGAGCAACAGTCTACTCTTATGATCATGGATTGTGTCCAGATGGGCTCTGCTTTGAACCATACTCACTTATGCAGGTTTGCGGACTTTGGCTCATGGCCAGCAACCAGTGCAACTTCAAACATACCAGTCATGTTATCATTGTCCTTTACCCGGAAACTGCGAGTTTTGCCGGTCCAGTGATGAAACAGACATTACAAACATGCCTTTTTGCCAGTCTGGTTCAAACACGTTGGTCCCCGACTTTTCACTGCGGATTGGCCACATGAACTTTTTGAGCACGATGGTCTTCCCAACAAGTAACGTCTGGCAAATGGTGGAAGTGAAGCTTCTCTTCTGCATGGAAGCCTCAAGCGATTCCGCGTGAGCGATCCGTGTGGCAAATTAGCAAGTTCGATTCCTAAAGGTATACCCTGGGTTCAACCCTCATACAACTAATGGCAAGGACCCAACTGGAATGATGACGATCCTGAACGATAAACAATGGTGCTTATAATATGAGCCCAGCCATTGTTCTCATGGTGGTATCTGACACCCAGGGAAATAGCAGCCTTGGGAAACCTGGACAGGCATTTTCACACATCTCAATTCTTAAAAACTCAAACAGCCGAAATTCCATATGAATGATATTCCCGACTGGCTGACTTCTGCCTATAGCGCCCATTAAAGCATCTTATATTTAGCTCGATGCAATTGGTACGTAGGCTAGATTGCGATTACGTTGTAAATCAGAATACAACCGGATTTTGAATAGCAATCACGTAATCTTCAGAACCAAATCCTCTACCATGCCACAGAATGAAGAAGATGCTTAGTCTGTTTCCGAGTAAGATAGTAGATTCGTAAATATCAAGTTCATATAAGCCATGAAGGGCAAACCTGGCTAATAGAAACAACAACCGGAATTACACACGCGGGAGCAGCAAACCAACTGCAGCACTTGTCCACGATGTGATGTCTTGTGGTGTTTAGAAGCCACTAGTGTAGCACTGGACTCTTTTTTATGCGAGGGAGATCTCGCCAGTCCAAAGCCCAAAAGCGCCCGTGCCTCTGCCACGTGCTCCTCACATGACAACCACCCAGCATTGGCTGATGGGGTAAAAAGTCTGGTTAGAGACCAATTGAAAGGCATGATTTACATTGAAATGCTCGACAAAAGAACTTGTTGAGAGTGTGAAGTTGATGGCCATACTGCAAGCTCAGCTCAGCAGCAAGAACAAATGTACTCCATGAATGTCACTGTCTCTCTTTGCGCTCACAACGAGTGGTGCTGACTCAGGGATGTGGTCAACCACAAATAGCCATCCCCGCTACAAAAAAACATCCTCAACACCTCCAAATGGACAGCTTCCTTTTGCTTTCCCTTCAACGTGACCCTCAAGAATCAAGACCGGAACATTAAAAAACCAAACACGCCCACAAGTCAGGCATGGGAGACTCGCGATACTTGACCCAGTGTTCAAGCAACCCGGTTAGAAAAAGGAAACACTTCCATGGGTTAACCCATTCTTAGCCGGGACAGAGGGTTGCACTGAACAACTGGGTTGATTGATGCGACAACCCCCCCAAAAAATAAAATAAAAAAGTGTTCCGTTTCTTTTCTCTATAAACCACCCCCAAAAAAAGCGGCGCGCACCTCAAGTTCAGCGGGGAAAATCCGGGCACCGCCGGTGACCCCGCAGGTGGAAAACGCTCAAGGAGTCAAGGAGCCTTCGCTTCGCTCGGGCCCAAAGAGCTGAAGCCGAAGGCTTCTTTTCTCCGAATTTTCACCCCTCCGAACTGGGACGAGTCAAAAAAGAGAAAGATTAAGGACCTGGGCTGCAAGTCGAAACCTTTCGTTTTTGGGGTTAAATGGAAAGCCCCACCGAACCCAAAGAACCTCAACTCACTTGCTGAGTGGATGGCCCGAAAAAGCAACCAAACTTGGTATTTACTTCCCAAAAATGGTCCAGACCCAAACAGTGACTAAAGGTCATGAACTCAGGAAGTGAGGGACCGCCCAGTTTGCCCCAAGTGAACTCAACCAATTTAAAGGAAGACTGAAATGGCGAGGTCCCCCAAAATTATGCCCGGAGGGTTCCATTGGTAAGTTCTAAGGAGGTACTGAACGACCGACGCCTTTTTCCCTCCCCCCCTTCCCCCCACAAAAAAACAAAAACACATCCTCATAAGGTACTTGGACCCTCTGGGATGGCTTTGCGATTGGTTTCTCTAAAACCAACCCCAACTTGGACGTTTAAAAAATAAAGAGAAACAAATGAAGGACCGCCCCCTTTGCCACCTTTCGCCCCGTTCGAAACCGGCGCTCGGTTTCTGCCGCCCAAGCGGCCTCTGGCTGCAGCGTGGGCTTGGGCGGCGGGGAGCTCATGAACCCCACGCGCTCGCTGGGCACGTCCTCGATTAATTCGACCCGTCGCGCGCCGAGGGCCGAAACTTGGACGTGGGACACACCTGGGAACGCATTTCTAGGTCCTCCAGTAGAGAGCTTGGAATAAGGGACCATATTTTTCTCTCTGTAGTCTATTTTAGTAGGGGAACCCTCCCAACCAAAAAAGTTGGTGAGAAAGGGGACTACTGGCAGACCTAGGTAGTCTTCCAAAAACCCGCCAATCGTCAGCTTCTGTGATTGGGAGGGTACTCCTGGGTTCTCAAGCACTACTGGCGGACCTAGACATGTCAATGACGTCCGCATGACCCCTGGAAGTGAAGGAAACCCCTGCCTCCCACGAAACAAAACCAGACATGCCTCCCAGTGTCGGCATCGCATGGCCATGGGTCGTAAACTATGCCGATCCCATGTTGGGGCGGATCACCCATGTACCACCTATTTTGATGTTCACCAGGCCGGGGTACAGGGTTTTGACCCTTCACCAGTGTCGGAATCACATGTTGATGAAGTTGCTGCATCCCTTTAAGCGGAACTCAACTCTCCCGTGAGTGCTCAGCAAGCTCCGTGCTGCAATTGCCCTGTTGCTGCCCTTCGGCCTCTGTGCAAGCTGTGAATTGCGAGCTTTACACGAGCGTCGTTTGGGTGGTTCTGATGTGTGAAGTTTGTTCTCCGACCAACATGGTCCAGAAAGAGAAACCACATGAAACAACTTTTCTACTCTACATTGGAAGCCATTTTTCTTTCCCAGCGCAATTTGATTGAGGCCTCACCAAAGAAGGGAAGAAGAAAGGTAGTGTTGTAGCTTCTTCCTGTGGATGTCCCATTGCATTACACAAAGCATACGGAGAAACAATGTATGAACAACGAGAGTTCCGAATAGTGGCTTCCAAAGGACATGGAAACATGATACTCTTAGTGGATTGCACGCTATCGGAATCTCCAAACTAGGAAATCCTCGCATATTTGTGTTTGTTGCACTAAAGACATATATATATATATAATGTATATGTAGCTCAGGACACAGCCCATGTTGATGTGTGTTAATCGATTTCCCAATATTGCATTCCAACCACCTTCACCTGAGTGGAGACTGTTATTCCCTGTAAATTTGCATTGACGCGTCACCTTAAAACCTTCCGCGAAGCTTGGATCACCCGAACATGGATCAATGCTCAAAAGATAAAACGTGTCGCCGATGCGCGCACACAAATGCACGCAGAATGGAATCAAAACCCTGAACAGCGCTGAAAGGCGCCTGCTCGGTCGCAAGCTCCGACTCCAGCAATGCTGACCTTGGCAAAGCGAATTGCTAACCCAGGGCCCCACAAAACGACCCCCTTTTGGGGGCCGCCACAAGACATCTTGACAGAGCTTCTTGCCAAGTAACACATCACCCATACTTTCCGTGGTTGTGCTTTTTCCCGAGTGCGTAACGAAGGGTTCCCTTTTTCTGATGTGGGGTGTTGGGGGTAGAGGATTTGTTGTTCTAGAGTCATTGGGCTCGAAATGCACTATTTGTATGACTTGCAAAATGTTGTTGTTTTAGCGCCTGTGCGTAAATCGTAGCTTCTGTGACGTTGGTGTCAGTTCGTTGCACGTCGCTGCGTTTTGGAAGGTTGCGTGTTTGCGTCACTGTGGCATTGCGATTTGCGCTTCAGGGCTGGTCGTTCTTGAGGTGTCCTGCTTGGCATGCACGTGCAAGTGTTTGCGCAACTGTCATTTTTGTTCAGGCCCTTGTCAACATTGGTCGAACAATTACGGCTCTACAGTCCCAAGCAAATTTTGTACACGTGTAGCAACCGCGTCAGAAGTTGGGGTGTGTGGCAGGTGCGACACTTTGAACATACTTTGATTCGTGCGTGACAGCCGCAGCGCTTTAGAGGTCTTTGATCAAATTTGGTGGAAGGCGTAGCACTTTAGAGCTCCCCACACAGACTCTGAATTTCGTGGCAGGCGCAGCACTTTGACGGATGGTGTGCAGATAGCTTCAGGGAGGGTTCCGGAAGGGTTCTGGGGTGTTCCGGAGGTTGCTGTTGGGGACCTACGTTTATTTGATCAAACAGTGCCGACCAAAGAGAAAACAGTACCCCCCCCCTTAGGAAGCCACTGCGGAAATAACTGAACCAAGCAAGATTATCTTGGGGCTCCTTTGCACCAACCACAAAACGAGTATCCTCAAAACACAAAATACACCCAGATCTGAAGCATCCATGTTCGGCTTTGTGATATTACTTGCGCCAACTGCCGCTTGATAATTCTGCAAATTGACTGTGTGAGACTCGCTCGATATTGCTTGGAACTTGAAGCGCCGATAATATACAGGTCATTCGCTCAACATCCATATGCTCAACACATGATATTCACAAATCAACTGCGAATTGCAGCAGTTTTTCGCTCAAAGACCCAAACAGGGTGACTGGCAATGCTCATGCCATCCATGCGGAAGCAAGCCAATTGACAAAATTGCTCCCCTGAACATCATGCCTCTCATTTCAAAGCCACTTGATCTCCGTCTGAATCATCTGAAAGCAAGAAACAAGCCCTTAAAAAGTTTCACACACCTACACACTGATATCTAGAGGAGGAAAAATAAAGCCTTTGTCACTCAACCTGCTCCCCCTGAAAGGTCACTCAAAGAGGGTTCTACTCGTTTGCCTGAGCCTCTTGCATGCTCCGATTCGTGCAGTTCCAATGACTGAGATTCCAAAACCGGTGTCTCCCCCATCCCCAAAGAATCGAACTTCTTGTTGGGATCGTACTCCGTGGGCCTGCGACCATGGAGTAATGTTGACCCCACATTAACCCTGGTGTATTGATAGGGGAAGCAGGGGGGGGCCTCCAAAAGTGATGATTCCCCACACAGCCCAGGGACAGCTGCCTATTCACAAACTGGGGTCGATTAATATGGGGTCAACATTACCCTCAGTTGTTCAGTGACCCTGGAAAAAAAGGGAAGCCTTTTTGGGGAAGACCATTTTTAGTGGGGCAGCCACCCAAATAAAAGGGAAAAAAGGGTGCCACTGAATAACTGAGTACCGGGAACTTGTCCGATGAGAAGCCATCGAATCTTCCCAACCAGTCGTTAAGCAAAACTCGATAGCTCCACTGGAAACAAAGGAGCTAACGAAGAAACAAGCCAACACAACAAGCCAACATCCAGTGCTTCCCGCTGCCCTATGGATTTCTTTCCTCTAGGCTTTACAAGCAGTTTTCTCTGCGGTTGGCTGCCATGGGAGCTGGAAGCATCGGGAGTAAAGAAAGGATGCCTCAAGACAAATGGTCAGCTTCCCTGCGTGTGGTTGGGGGGGGTTCCCATCTACCTTAGCTAGGTCCAGGAGAGAGGTTAGAATAAGGGCATGAGCGTTTTCTGGTCGATTTTAGGCGGACCCTCCCCCAAAGGCTGGGGGAGCTAGCTTCCAATCTCCAAAATCCCAGCCAGGGGCTATCTGACATCGAAGGCCTGGCGAGGGCATCGATCTCTAAAAACACCTCTGAGCCGAGAACGGCGAGTCCCGGAGGTAGACGGTATCCTGGCATGCCCGCGTAACACGCATCTTCCGGATGTTGCGGAGTCGTTTCCAGCTCAAGAGGATTCCCCTCTTGAAATCGCGAGGCCTAGGAAATCAAAGTTTTCAGAAGCGTTGTGAGAACCTTAGGGCTTGGGCTCTTTTCTCTTGGGATTGACAGCCAGCTCTGCTTAAGTTGTTCATCCCATCGGATTCCCAAAAAGCCGCTCTAGGCCACCAGTCATGTTCCTTCTAAAAAGTTAGTTCCCTTGGGTTGGTAGAGGGAAATAGAACCATGTACGCCAAGCTCATCCAATTCTGAAAAACTGAGTCTTGGGCGCAGAGCTCAGATTTGAGAGACTGGAACTGCTTGCAATCCGAACGCTGATTGCAAAACGTGAAGCCTCATGCAGAAGTTCATGTCACCGTGACTTGCGTCACACCCTTTGGAAATGTCGGCGCCTGACACAACACTCCAACTGTTGCTGGATGAGCGACCGATGGAACCCCCCAAAAAAGCAAAAAAGGCCAAGCCTTCAGAGAAGTCTGGCAAGGAAAGCTGCTGGGTGGACGAAATCCGTTCGCACCACTTGGAAACCACGGTTAAAACCATGGTTAGCTGGTATTTCCAGGGGGGAGCGAATCATTGCCAGGGTTTCTGACATGGTGCGAACTGAATGTCGCAACCATCCACAGTATGAAGATGGCGTTTGGACTTCCACTCTCCGTGCAAGGCGTGGGTTTCTCCCGGTCTCCAAGTTTTTATGCATCCCAAGCCGGACGCCGGCAAATCAAGAAATCTTAGCAAGAGACCCCCTTCAAGTGGTTGGGTTCCTTTGGGCGTCCCTTAAAAACCCATCAACAAAAAGGGGGGCCTCCTTCCCCCAGAAATTCCCTTGGTGCCTCAGGAGGTCCTGAACAACCCCCTTTTTACCCCCCAGGAGCCATCCTCATGAGATACCAAACAACCCTACAATCCAGGTCCTCCAGTAGAGAGGAAAGAAAAGTTGGTACCCGAATTTTTCTGTAGTGGATTTTAGTAGAAAACCCTTCCCCCAAAAAAAGGTGAGAAAGGGCACTACTGGGGGACCTAGTGATTTCACCAAAGCTTGCAACACACCTTGCTTCCAGGCCTCGGAACATTCCAAATATGAGGCCTTGTGTCAGACTTGTGGAAAAAACAAAAAACAGTCTTCACAGGGTGCATTTGGATCATGTTGACCACATACTAATCAACCCCAGTTTATTATTAGGGGGGGGCGGTCCCCTCCAAAAGTGATGATTCTCCACTAAATCCAGGGACACCCCCCTATTAATAAAACTGGGATTGATTAATATGGGGTAAACATAAAGACTTCAGAACTGTCGCAAAAGGCATCCTGCCGTGCGACATCTCACTAGAGTATCACCCATGTTGACAAGTGGAAACAAACATGGTGGTAACATGATTGAGTTGTTTATATGTGGTGCTATTTCGTAAAATATTGTTCAAAGGCGTGTCACTGCCAATGCTTAGTCTCACTGGTTTGCTCTAGCTTACATCCTATCACAAAGATAATCCGGGAAAGTCCCGTAATGATCGCGTGCGACATTCCCAAATAAGTGTCTTTGTATTGTGTAGCCCTTTCGAGTTAACCGAAACAGCAAGCAAACCAAATTAATTCTGCAGGTCCTATAGAACACAACCCATTTTTCCAACTAGTTTCGATCTGCTTAAGACATCTCCTGGGCTTCTTGCGCGTTCCTTTGACTCAATCCAGCCTCGCTGGCCCGTCGCAGCTTGGCCCTCAGCGAGCGGCGAAAAATAAAAAAGACCGCGAGCCATGGCTGACCCTAGACCCAACCAGTGACTGATTTGGGAATCTTTTCTAGTCTCAAGCAAATGGAAGTACAGGACGTGCCTTCCTGGCTCTCTTGATCAGACTAAAATTTAAGCTGAAGATGGAGCAGTCAGAGTTTGGTCACAGGTATCTTGGTTGACGTTGGAGGGGAGCAAACATTCACATTCAAAATTTAGCCGTGAAGTGGTTGGATTTCAACCACTAAAGCACAATTAAAATGTCAAATGCTTCCCAACAACAACCATGCTAGGGGGGCCCTTTCGAATCATTGGAGGCTTTATTGGTGGCGGGTCAACAAGGACCTTTATCACGGTGAGCTCGATATACCCCCAGGTGAGCTTGCAATAAAACTGGCAGACAGAATACTAGGGCTCCTTGTAGCTTAAGGCTTAGGCAAACTTTGAAGCTCCTCTCCCCAACCAGCCGGACCCACCTCCGAAATGGTGGGACACAAAATTCACAAAATGGCCCCAAGCTCAACTTTGGTGCCCACTTGATGGCTTCGGGGAATCCCCTTTTAACCCTGCACCCGTTTGGACTCTTTGACCTCGCTTTCCACCGCCGCATGTGTGTTTGTGATCTCAAGCACCTGCATGTCATGGCCAGGGTGTTCCTACCTCATTTTGCCAGTATGTTCCCCAACAAAAGGGACATGTCTAAACATGAATTGATGACACCCGATTCATTCTGGACTGATTTCTTTAAGTGGCCCCGGCCTTTGCAGTCTTCTGTAAGATAACGGGATTCACTCACCGGAAGCTGGGAAGAGATCTAAAACAACCAGAATCCAAAGGCACGGCATGCACGGCCTTCTCAAGTGACCGGGCTATCACTTCTCCGCCACGTGGACAATTGTGCAAACACATGGCTTAGTGTCTAGGTCCTCCAGTAGAGAGGTTAGACTAAGGGTACCCTTTTGTTGGTAGTCTATTTTAGTAGGGGAACCCTCCCAACCAAAAAAGAAACGGGTGAGAAAGGTTGCACCTAGCTGGGAGACCTAGATAAGCAACTAGATAAGCAACCTGGAACTCGCCGGATCCCACAAAAGAATCAACAGGCGGACGGACGCACCTTGTTGAGAAAGGTTGCACCTAGCTGGGGGACCTAGTTGTAGAGTCAGTCTTGTCCTTCCAGGCTGAGGCAGCTGCGGAGTGTCACGAAAGGGGTAGATCGTGTCCTGCAGCCAAGGAAGGTGGACGGACAAGTGGCCGCTAGCTCCATCCCTAGCCTAGCAGTTCCCTCATCCATTAGCTGGCTGTGGGTCAAACATAGGGTAACCCCAAAATGGAACCCTGGTAAATGGAACCAAAGACTAAAACCTGCGGTCCCCTGGTGGTTTAGTTTTGACCCATACGCACATTTGTTTGCACTCTCAAAGTGAATAAGTACGGTCCCTTTATTAAGAGTAAGCCCCCAAGATTCCATGTTTGCGTGCTGGTGAAGTTCAGCCAACAAACACCCGCAACACCCAACCCCGGCAGCCAGATTTCGGAAGTACTTGCTTTCAGTCTCAAACATCTTTGCAAATGAGTGAAAATCCTGACGAGGGTCCCACTGAATCATACTGTGCCCCGTTGCTCAAAAGTAATCAAGCATGCCCTCGTGCACAGGCTCCAGGAAGTCAGCAAATGCAAACAAAAGCTGTGTTAAGTCAAAAGCCAGGAACTTGATTTGCTGCTGTTTCCCAGCTTCTATCAACGCAGGCCCAAAACACTGAAACACTGCTACTCCAAGAGCAGTATGAACAACACATTTCACACAGGCCTGTGCCTTGTGAGGCACAGTCGCATTGATGAAGGGTACACATACAAAAGCACCAATGGATGGCAGCCACATTTGGATGGATCTCGCAAACACAGCCGAAGGACACCATCTCTAAGAGTCCCCACCCTCAAATTCAAACCACCATGAAAACAATGGTCGGGTTCATATAACGTAAGTTCTCCAGTAGAGAGGCTAGAATAAGGGTACCCTTTTTTCTGTCTATTTGAGCAGGGGAACCCTCCCAACCAAAAGAAGGGTAAGAGGGCACCTAGCTGGGGGACCTAGTAACCACCATTCTTGTCCCTTCAGGATTGTCCTCATCCAAGAACTTCCATTTGGTCACCTGCCCCTGTAACCCTCTGCAATCACTGAGGATGGTAAACATCGAAAACATGATTCTTGAATCACTTGCTTCCCCCCCAAGAAGAAGAAGCCGAAGAAGAAGCACACACCAACAAAACAACCAAAAACACAAGTGCACAAACCAACAAAAACAGCCAACCAACCCAGCAACCAACTACCGGGCTACCAACTCACCCAACAGGCAAACAACGAACCAACCAAACAAACACGTTGGACAACAGACATGCGAGCTTTGCCACGCGACGGATACAGGTGTCCTCGCTGGTCTTTCTCGGCCTGGTTCCGAAAACACGAGCATGAGACTGGGGAAGTGGGGTCATGAGGATACATTCTGGGAATAGCTTAGTCCCCTTATTGCATGAATCTAACCTAGAAGTTGGTGGAACATCCAAGTTGGCGCCTTCTTGCAACACGCGCAGTTCTTTGTGTTTGTCCACACAGCTCAAGTGTGTCCCAGTGGGAGGGGGGGTCCGATTTGTTTTCCTGCAACCATTAAGGCATAGTGTGCTCTTGAATCTTGGCCATCTGGGTACACAGACAGCAACATCTCCTCCGTATCTAGTCTAACATGCAAAACATGCGTCCCCTTAAAAAAGGGAAACACTCCTCAAAAAAAAAAAACACTGCGGTTTTCCGGTTGTTCTTCCTTAAAAACCAACCAAACACAACGGGTTCCCTCAGAAAAGAAAGGGACAGCACCCATGTCTTCGGAGACACCACACAAACCCTGGGGACCCTTTGGCCCCCGGGCGGCGGAGTGGGCGCTTGTGAGCGCATAACTTCCTGGCACAGGTCTGATGCATCCAGTGACAGTGACGGAAAGCGGATATCATGTATGCTGTACATATATATATATATATATACAGTTATATATATATATCTATATCTATATATATACATATAAGTATATACATGCGTGCGTGCGTGCGTGCGTGCGTGCGTGCGTGCGTGCGTGCGTGCGTGCGTGCAAGCAAGCAAGCAAGCAAGCAAGCAAGCAAGCAAGCATCCATGATTGCATCCATCCATCCATGCATACATACATACATGGATGTAGGTATGCATGCATTAAGCAAAACACTTGGAAGCAAACGTGCAACCGACAACTCATAGAGCCCTTGTTAAGAGCATTCTGCTATTCATGTGTCCGCTCAGATTCCACATTGTGTAAAGGGCGTGGGGTGAAAGAACGCAGTTGTTCCATGGTCTTGCTCATGGTCGCGGAAATCACCGTTGCTGGGATGCTAAAGAATCACATCCCCATGACTACTGTATGACGAAAAAGGGAACTTCCTGGGTACCGCACAAACTGGTCCTACCCTTCCTCCAACTAACATGGCACCTGTGGGGAGGCATTTGGAAGATGATTTTCCTTTTGAAGGGACCCTCTGTCAGTTGCCATGTTAGTGGGAAGGAAAGTAACTATCAACAAATTCACCCGACCGTGGCTTGGTTTAGTTTACACCAATCCCTCGCCGTCCTGCGCGGGCTCCTTCGGTCTTGGCGGAGCAGGCTCCTCCACTTGCAGCCTTGGCGTCATGGGGTCTCTTGCATACTGTGGATTGCCGAAATCCACGAAGAATGATTCCCCTGTACATACCGACTAACAGTGGCTTCACATGGTTTCAAAGTGGTGCAGGTTTCCGTCCATCCACAGTATGTGCAAGGTATGCTCCTTGGAGTTCAGACATCTATCTATATGCAGTTATCCAGAACACTGAAGAAACACACTCGTACGAGAACCAAACAAAAATCGCGCTCCGAGAAAACCACGCTTTGGCTTGTTGAGAGGACAAGTGGGTCTGGACATGGTTTACCTGCATCTCCGCTCAGCGCCAAGAAAAACAAAACATGTCGGTTCAATAAGCGGGTTTCTGCGCTAGAGTTACCTGCAAACAAGGGCCGCCCTTAACACGATCTGACTCGTACATAAAATGTTCTTCCCGGGAAAACAAAAATGATAGGCGAGCCATTGAAGTGGACATTTGGCAAACGGGCCCAGCCAAACGAAACTCGAGCCAAGTTTCGGCGTCACAAAACACGTTGCAGGCGCCTTTGGCTACCGTGTAGCACCGCGCGGGAAGCAAAACAGACCACGTGGACTGGGAAGCAAGTTGCCTGAAGGCCTTTGGAGCGGCCTTTGGGTAAAACACGCCTCGGAGTCAACCAAGATGCCCTCTCTCCCACTAACATGGCACCTCAGAAATGGTCCCTAAAAGCAAAAGAAGACCTTCCAGGTACCCTCCCACAGGTGCTATGCTAGCGGGAGGGAGGGTACGTCTCTTATTCGCTCAGTGATTCTGAGTCTCGTTGAAGCGGCTTCCCTTCCCTTGACGTCTTGAAGTTGGAAGCCTCCTTTTCCTCCTGCTCTCGGTTGCGAAATCTGCTCCCCTGCTAAAAGTGACTAACTTTTAGTGGTTTAGTGGAAAACCCATTAGTTGGCAAAAAGTTAAAGTCATAACAGCCAAGCAAAATGCACCAAAGTGCTTTCAGACCCACCCGCAAATCTTCCGCCTTTCGATAGAGCCGGGTCTCAAAGAACATGCCAATGAGCTGCATCCGGCACCGCATCGCGATTACACACAGGGTGTCGAGGCATGGTTTTCGAACTGCAAGCAATGGATTTTCCGCAAGCTCATGAGATCGCCCTCACCAGAAAAAGGACGCATCAGCATCGCTCAACATCTATAAAGGCACTCTATATTCGATATTGAGTGCCTAAACGGCACTCGCTCAACATCTTTGGGCAGCTGGCTACTCAACCAGGTTCTGGTTATAGAGGATTTATAAAGGCTTATAGAGTACCCGGCTGCCCAAAGGACCTGCAAATGAAAGGTCGACTTTTTGCGACCTGGACAAAAAGTGGACCAGGACAGGAAAACCAAAAAGGCAAAAGGTCGCTTTGGGCATGTGAGAGCAACAACCGTAAGACCAGATAGTAGAAAGCCCGAAATGGGCGAACACCGGGCCCCCAACCACTGCTCACATGCCATGCTTTGGGGCGACTTGATGAGGCGACTCCCAACCCTTCACGGTCCGCTCATGAATTGCTTGTTCTCAAATCAAGGTTCCCTTAAAACAAAGGTTGTAGCCCGAAGAAAAATATGGGATGAAATCGACAGGAGGGTGCTGGCATTGGTGGCCATTGAAACTTATTTGCAAACTTCACAATTCCAAAACCGACACAAGGGATCCTTGGGAGCTTCATCGTGACGAGCTCGCTTTACCCCCAGCTCGTACAAGATTGCTTGGGCCTCTATCAGCTGAACGACGTATCTGCCGTCGACAAATCCGACCCGAAGGTACTCGGCCTCAAAGGCATGTCACGTCTAGATTGATGCCTCAAAAGAACGGACCTGCTCAATTGGTTGTCCAGCTGGTGTCCGGTTAAAACACTTGGTTCCGACGAAAACAAATGAACCGTTGGGGACTATCTTTTTCACGCAAGACCCTTTCCAAAGACTTTACAGTCTTTGAAGACGACTATCTTGAAGCGGTTTGTATTCCAATTCCCCGGCGGCCCCAAGTAAGACCGGGCTCAGATCCCCTGCAAAAAGTGTAAAACTGACTGGGTAAATACGGAAAAAAAACAGCACTACGTACTTACAAAACCACTAAGCACCCTACAAGTAAGTTGAACCGGAGGCTTCGCTGGCTTCCATTTGCGTAAGTCCACCAAAAACATAAACCTATTTCCAGTAGTGATAGAGTTCCTTTACAACCAACACGGAAAATCACACAAATATTCATTTCAGCAGATGGACGCTGGTTTGACTCATTCGACGAAGACACAAAAAACAAACAACCCCAAGTACCAGAGGATTCGCTACCCAGACAAACTCAGCAGCCTCCGGTTCACTCATCGGAAGACACAAAAACGCTGAAAACCCGAAGTGGAACCAGAGGATTCGCTGGTTGTCACGCCAAACTCAGGAGCCTCTTGACTTCAGGAAACCTCCCAGCCAAAAGGAAGGCAGTGATAGGCCCCCGGCACCGGAGCTGCCTGGCGCGTGGACGCTTGGAGGCGGGGGGGGGGAGGACATGCGGCGGGCGTCCAGGCGTTCGGGCAGTCCGAAGCGACTTGTTTTGCTTCGAAATCCCGGACTTCCATGAGAGAATGAGACTAGTTCAGTTCCAGTTTTCATAGTTAGCAGGGTCCTTTTACCTCTAGGTTCCCTTCACCAAATATCTGCTTCTTTTCAGATAAAACCACCAACAACCTACGCAAACAGACGGTGTTTAAAAGGACGACGGCTAACGGGGAATCGCTCATAGTCGTTCCGGCGGCAGACATTGGCCCGGGCTTCCGTCCGCAACCAATGGCCCCATTGACAATCAAAAACACAGTGATCATTGCAGGCACTGATTCTCAAGCGTGGCTCTCTTAATTTATTGCAAACTCCTCACAAGGATACTCACATTGCAACCATGTCAAGCTTGTATCGGCAGGCTTCGTATTCATGAATGTACCTTCGCAGAACGTTGCAGTGGATGACGGCAAGCATCTCGGCCCAACTTCAGGAACAGAACAACTCACGCACAGCTTCTTCCCTCAAAGTCCAGGCTTTCCCCCCTCTGCTTGACGTGCGCGTAGCTTCCATAAGGAGTTTGCGAGTGTAAAGCCGCGCTTCGTTCTATGGTCTGAGATTTGTACCCCTCCCCTCCCTCGCCCTCGGCAAGACATGCGCGGGCTCCTGTGGTCTTGGCGGAGTAGGCTCCTCCAAATGCAGCCTCGGCTTTGCGGATTCACAGAATAAGATGAAACATGACACGAAGTCTCCGCACACCGGATTGCCTCGCCTGTAGGATATTAAAGAGTATTAAAAAAGTATTAACAAAAGGACCAACAGGGCGAAGAACAGGTCAACAATCCACGTAAAAAAAGGCAAAATAAAAACGCAACTCCAAACCGTTCCCTAGAAAAGTTGGACTTGTCTTCTACCAAACCTACCGGAAATTCTAGAGATCCTCGTTTTGGGCATCTATGAAGCCAGCTACAGGGAAGTTCTATACAGGGATGTCATTCCTTCTTGGTGGGCATTTGGCCCTTTGCACATCAGAGTGTCGGTCTTAGCCCACTGCGGCAGCGAGAGGGGGATCTCCTGCGAACCGGCGGGTAATCCACAGAGTCTTGGCCAAATCGCGGAACCTAATCACTCAACAAACCTCAAACACATGTGCAAGGAGTTGGCCAAGATTCTGTATATATATATATAAATATATACATATACATACATATAGGTTCTTCTCACGGGTGGAAAATGATGATTTTCACGGATTTCACTTCCTGCGTGCGTTGAACAAACAAAGTCCGAACGGTTTGGTCTTTACGCAATCTTACTTCCTGAGTGGATGGGCCAAACAAAGTCCAAACTGCTCATCTACCGCCAAAATGATCCAAACCCAAAAAGCGACTAAATTCCAACTCAGGAAGTGAGCAATAGTTGTCCCACACAGTCCAACTCGGGCAGTGGGGGCAAAGGGGCTTCGATCTTTTTTGGACAACGAAGCAAAACGCAACATCGCATGGGCAGCGGTTTGAAGACACGGGCGTCTTGTTTAGGGCACCGCCAGGCCCCCAGGATGGTGCTTTGCCTTTTGGTTTCCCTTTAACACCACCACTGACCAAAGGGGGTACCTGGAGGGGGCTATGTAGCACTTATTTTTGGTTTTTTCAATAAAACCAAAAATAATTGGTTCAACCATTTTTTTGCAACCGCAACATCTAGCCAAACCACCAAAAATAAGTGCTATAGCAAAGCCCCTCCACTCCCTGAACGTATGAGGAAAGCCACCAGCTCCATGACACACATGACACAGCTGCTGACTCCGCTTGCCACTTGTTTGGCTCAACGCGTCGGCGGTCGGAGGTGCATCATTGGCGCCTGTGCCCAGCCCTCAGGGGCATCAGATCCCTTGAAAGGTCATCCTCGCATGGATCAAATATTTGGCAGCCACCCTTCGGCTAACACTATTTGGATGCACGGTCCGGGTGATTTGCGAGGCAAGGCCAATAAAGGACTCCGCTTGCTGAGTTCCAAAAATTGCAGGGTTCAATACCTGACCGCTGCTCCCACCACACTGAAGTTGCTTGTCCAAATCAAGCGCGATGTGAAAGGCATAGTGCAGTTTGGGCGTAATGTTGAAAAAAAGCATGGAGTCGGCGAAACAAAGTTGAGCTGCTTTCAGATACTCACAGCAAAACTGCTTGAGTAGCGTAGACACCTGCTTCCCGTAAGTTGCCGCTAGGAACACCCGGTTGTGCGTATACATGATCCTCAAACAGTCATCTATGGCCTGGGCTGCCTTCACGGCGCGTAAAGCTACCAGTGTGTGGTTGTAAGGTCGGTCGCAGAGGTCGAGCATCCACTTCAGCAAAAGTCGTGTGTCCGAGCCCTTCCACGAACATTCGGGGAAATATGACCCAGAAATCCAGCCAGTGTTTTCGCGGGTGAATGTTTTCACGTGCGGTGTTTCCTTGAGAACCCGTTTGCAGAAAAAGCTGAAGTCTTTGTAAGCTTCCTGTAGTCTGACATCGACTGCCCTTCCAGTAAAGTACTGCATGTTGGCCAAGTAGCAAAGAAGTGAAACACAAAACGTCCTCAGTATTCCTAAGTGAAGGATATGGAACACATCCTTTGATAGGAAATTCTCATGATTGGCGCCGGGAAGTTCGGCGAAGGGGTGTGAGGTAGACCATGGCCTTGTTTGACCAATGCTGAGCCTCCAAGCAGCTGTTGATCGAAGATTTCCAAAGGCCATATCTTCGCTTCGGTCATGAGCATTGCACCAGAAGCAACACTCGTTAGGCTCTCGGCCAAAGTTTCTCCTGCAGTGGAAACATTTGGATAGGGCGGGTAAATCACCTTCAGCAGAAGCGAAAACAAGCCAGAACCTGTTCGAGCCACACAACACCCCGTCGAAATACACAGAGCGCGCCATCAGAGTGAAGTGATGCAGGAGGGAGTCGACGCAAGGGTTTCCAAGTTCATAGCCCTGGTGAAAGTCTTTGTACATCTCGTGTGGCATACATGACCACAGCAAATAACAGGGATTGAATATTGGCGACCAGCTTATATGTAGAATCGGGTGTTTTCGGACTCCTGTCCCCTCATCACTGTGCATCTTGCAGGGGATGCACCACTCCAAGCGATGGGCGTGGTCCGTGTACACGTGGTGCAACGGGTTATACTTCTTGTACACCCTCCAAAACATGCGAAAGCATCCGTGGATAGCATCCAGGTTGCTCACATTGTGCCCATTCAGTAGCTTGTTGGGGAAGAGCCGTAGCATCTCTTCTGCTAATGATTTGATGCAAAGACATGTGTGATTGACAAACTTGCCGCTGCCAGACAGAACCTGTACACAAGATAGGTTTGCCCTCAACCCAAAGCCAAGGTCTAACAGAGTCTTCGCCAGGATCTCTTCAGTGTCACTACCTTTGCCATTTGCTTTTGCAAGCATACAAAGCTCTGTGTAACCAGGAATTCCAGGAGTCGCCAATTCCATATTAGTGAATGCCATTTGGGCAGCAGCTGTTGCGTCCCCAGCCTTGTGTGACCCCCAAAAATATTGCAAACATGACACTTCAGAACAGGTTTTAAAAACATTGAAACTTGCAACGCACAGAGCTTTGCCACCACTGCCGGATCATACTTCATGGCGACCTCCTGCACCGCTCGTTCCCCTGCGCGGGACAGGACTGTGCGTTGGAACACGCAAAAGCTTTGCATGGCAATCAAACAATCATGGGTGACTCGTCAAGGCATAAGGCACGTTTTCACCCAATCGCTCAAGATGGCGTCGACAGGCCAGCTATATCTTAGAGATCGACCCCGTTGAATGTAACAGGTATGCCAGGGCAAACTGTTATTTGCCAAAGCTGTGCGAAAACAATAAATCCCACACTGCTGAAAACTGCCAGTTCTCTGTTGTGCACCCTGGCTACCGTTACAACCCCGTATTCAGACAAAACCTAGACCCTGCTCACATCTCACTCTTGGCTTTCAGGTTTGGCTTTTGCTTTAGCCGTCTTGGACTTGGCGCTGGGCACCTTCCGCAAATGGGTCCTGAAAGGGCAAGCCATGTTGACACCGGATGAGTAACTTGTCACAACAGCGCCACCTCCAAAGTTGATGAACCTCCTGTTGTAGAAGGGGAACCCGTACAGTATTTTTTTAACCAATGGGTTTCAAAGGGTAAACCCAAACTGGTCCTCAGTACGTTCATCTCGTTCCCAAAGCTGATCAGCCTAGCGTGTCAAAGCACCAAGGCCCATGAAAGAGCAGGGTGGACCAACAGAAGAATATATAGCAAGGGGCAGCTTGCGAATTTCAGCCGCCACCGGCTCGTATGCTTCCTTTGCCAGCCTAGGGTAAGGGAACCCAATCTTAAGCCAATGCACCAAACATCATGTTTGCAATGAGGAACTTCCCCTGATGTTGGGTTTCCAGATCACACATTTCCTTGTAGCGCTCGGTCAATTTCCCTGAGCAGTTCAAGCAGGTTGATCGTCGCGCAAGCAATGTTTCTGGCCAAGGCGCCCTGTGTTGTCTCGATTGCCTCCAAATCATTCCTGGGATGTGCTCGGTCAGGCGTGGTTACACAGGGGTTGTACAAATATATAAGAAGCCTTTGGTGCAGCTGTGGGTCTTGTGAGAGGCGCACTGTTCAGCCTCAAGCCTAGCCCTGACCTCGTTGAGCGACTGCCTTTTCGATAAACAGGCCCGCTTGAACTTTGCAATGAATGCATCGGCTGTTTCGGGGCCCTCAAGGACAGGAAGGCCAGCGGAGGGTTTCTTTTTCTTTTCCTCTGGTTGTTCCTCCTCCTCATCCTCCACATCAAACGCGTCACCAACTCCCAGGTCCTGGTTGTCAGTCCACAGACCTGCGCGCTAGGACGAGCCGGCGGAGCTTTAATGGCGGGAGCAACTCGCCTGACGCATGCATAGTCTCCTCCAGTTCACGGAGCTTTTCGGCCCCCTTCCTGGGAGAAGGGTTTGTATAAGAATAGAACGACACACGCACATGCGTGAGCAAAGCATCCGGAACACATGCAACTGAGATACTCAACTTTGTCGCTTGTCAAAACCAAATATTTCTTGGTGCCCTCGTAGACGCACTTCTTGAACAGTTTGCGGGCCGTGCAGTGGGCAACGGCTCCGGCAATTTTCTTCCTCAGGTGTCACGCGGGGCAGTAAGGGGAGTGGGCTCGAG